GGTCGTGAGAAGTCGCCAATAACAAACACCTAATCAACCAGGCTCTTCTACTTTAGGACAAAATATTTTGCACAATATAATCCGTATTCATCTATTTATTTGAAGAAGAGGTCACTATTTTGAGCCTAATAATGACGAACAAATTTAGCTTGGGTTAAAACTGATTGCGTTATGAAGAGAGAGACCATTATCAAATACTCCATAAAATTGTTGAAACAACTACGTACTATAAGTGTTTATTTTTAATCTAATTTCTCGCTTTACTTGTTCAAGCTAGCTAATCTGGGCAGCACCAGTCATAAACTAACAAATAATATTTGGGATTTTTTGTTGAAAAAAATTACACCTCTACCTATCTGATACGTAGCAATTTGAAAAACTTGATATATTCAGTTGTTGGACATAATCAGATTACTGGTCCTCAAGAAAATTTAATCAAAGAATAGATCAATTCTGTGGGTTTTAGAAGCAGTTGTTTGAAAACGGAATCCGCTACATGCTTTTTTATATTTTTTACGCCGTCGAAACACGCGAAATTTCTAATTTTTCTATACCCTACTTTCTCCCTTATCCATTTAATGCAGACAGGTGATCGTGAACCCCTTCAAAATCTATAAAATCTCTTGCTTTTAACAAACCTCGAAAATCTAATTTTTTTTCAACGTATTCATAATTATTTTGAAGCTTAACAGCTGGTCCAGAAGCTGCTAAAATACTGTCAGTTTTCTTTTGCGGTAACAGTAAAAACAACGTAGTTCTTTCTACAGAAAATAGAAAATAAATATTGTATTTTTGACGCCTGAGAAAAAGTTAAACTAAAAACTGTAACGAAAAAAAATGAAAGAAAAGCCGAAAAAAGTAGAAGGAATAAGGCTTTTAGAATATGCAAATAAAGTAATCTACAATTGAAGATTGTAGAAAGAAACTACACCCACCAACTATGGATTGCCAGAAATAGCAAAAATGCTTTCCCTGCCATGCATTTGCGTCCTTTAACCCTTTCGCCCTTCTGTTCTCTTCTCACCTATCTCAGTCCATTGTTCCATAAACTACAAATACTTTTGTGGCACTTTACTCTTTTTCTGAACC